CCACCGGCCAGGCCCTCCCAGGGACGTATCTGAAAAACCTCCACATCCAGACTTCATTTAGCTCAAAGCAAAGTCCTAATTAGTCACTCTGAGTGATTTACTTGTTCATTTGGAAGGGGGGGAGGGAGGAGACTAAGCTGAATTGTTTGAAATTATCCCTAAAGGGCACTGTAAATTAAGTGTTAATGAGGAATCCTATGCAAAGGGCCACAGTAGCTAAATAAAATAATTAAGGTGCTAAGTGATAACATTCATTTGGTTCTCAATAATTTAGCCAGCCTGGTTTTCAACCAGGATATTTGCAAATGAAGGCACCCTCACCCCCTCCCACGCCATCAGCAGGGACAGTGGTGCTGGGCAGCTCAGCATCCAGTAGGATCAGGCCCAGCATGGAAAGGAAACTTCCCCGGAAGAGGACAACAAGCTCCCAATTCCCCTCCCCACCTGAAGGAAGTGCTCTGTTCCACTAATCACACTCTGGATTTATATATGACACAAAAAGGATTGATTCGAGTCTACAGCCAATCTTTACTGAGGCTTTATTCCAATGGGCTGCGTTTTTCCCCGCCACAGCTGTTTTCTAACAGCTCGTGTCCGTCCTTCGGCAGACCTGGTTTACAACCCAATGCAACACGGTGTGGCTTCAGACATTCAAGCACCAATATGTAACACAGAAACCGCCTCTTTGTGAAGAAATTGCTACTGAGTTGTCCCAAATCATACCTGGTTATCACCAGCAACCTCTTGGCTGTTAAGGGGTCGGCGGGCTCGGGCACAGGGTGGACACGGCTGCTCTCAGCGGCACCACCATCTCTCACCTACAGCCCAAATTCTTTCCACAGCACAGAGAGAATTTGTGCAACAAATTCTCCCGTCCAACAATGTCTACCGTGCAACAAACACAAAGCTCGCAGCCATCACCAGCTATTTTACTGCAAAAACTGAAAGATTTGTTGCTCTGCTTTGAAAACAGCTTTGTGCCCTTCCTTACAGCCACTCCTCCAAGGTGCCGGTGGGAGGCGTTACCTAGTACACGCAGGTGTCTGACTTCAGCATTACACCAGGGTTCTTCTGATGGTATCGTGCCTCAGCCAAGACGCAGCTCAGGTCAGCGGGGCGCTCCCTGCAACTTGCAGCGATGGCAAAGACCCTGGAAAGAGCGCTGCCATATCCACACCAACAGAGCACAGCCACGAAACGCCGAGCAGATTCCCACACCAAATAATAAAAAAAAATTCAATCACTGTGCCTCAGCTTTTGGCTGCAGATGGAGTGCAGGAAAATACCTGTAGGAAAGCAAAAATAAATTAAAAAAAAAAAAATCTTTTTCTAAACCACAAGAAAATTGTTCTGCGGGCCTGGATGTTTGTTTGATTTTTAAATACAGAAATTTGGACTATAATGCCTTTGCGCTTCAGAACCATTTTTACCAGTAGCAACAGAGACGTTCAGCGAATCGATCCCAGGGTGAAGCACCCTGCCAGGGGGTATGGCCAGCATCCGATGGCACAAGAGCTGCGTCTCTAGGGAAAGTCCGTCACCTTCATTCCCTGCAGAACAAAGACACTGCTCAGGTCAGCTCGCAGCCGCTGCCACGTCCCTTTCCCCCCCTCCCAAGTACAGTTCTTGCTAACGCTCTGTCACTACACCCTCGCCGCTAAGCTCACCAGCAATCTGCCTGGCTCCTATGCAGCAACAGCCAAAAACTACCAGAGGTGAGGTGGGCGCCTTACCTGCCTGCGCTCCCTTCCTGGCCCACTCCAACCTCCCTGGATCCGTTCTCCACTATCTGAAGTGTTTTTGAGGAATACCTGTGCAGCGCGCCTGCACATACAGCGTAAAGCACAGAGCCTCGGAGCCTGAGCGCAAAGATCCCCTGCACAAGCAGCCACCGTGCCAGCAGACGGCCGTCCACGGACGCGGGCTGCTGCCAGAGGAACAGGGCAGGCGAGGCCACAGGCCTGATCTGGTCCAGCAAATCCCACATCCCTATCGATAGCGAGGGGTTCAGCCTTTTCAGCACACAGTACCACCAGCTGGGTGCAACTTGTGAATGCAGACAGTTTAACCAGAGGCTTCAATTGATTAGTTGTTAAACCATCCAACAGTCCTGATATGTTTGGGCTGATACACTAGTGAAACAGAGTTGAAATCTATCCCAGGTCATTAGTAGTTGTTTGACTCACACTGTCACAAAGGGAAATGGAAAGGGAGAGGCTTTAAACAATCCTGTGCGTAGACAAGTGAAAATGCAGAAGACCACAGACCTCCCAGCCCGCTTGGCTCCCCAAAGAATTCTTCCACATTCATTATTTAGAGCTACCCAGACAGCTACACGGCTGCAAGAATACCCAGCTCGTTTCAAAGACATGCTCACCCTCCGACAAAACAGGCTCAGCATGCTGGAAGCCAAACGTTCCCCTCGAACAGCCATACCCCACCCCCAGCTGAACCCCCGACTGGTCCTGGCACGGCACTGCCAGGGCACACACGTCTACCCGGGGCTTCTGCACCGCTGCCTGCGTGACCACTGCTGTCACCGAGGCCCCGCTCAGCTCATGTAAATTTAGACACTTTTCTGAAGTTTTAACAGCATACATGGATGCTTTAGGCACTTTCTGTGCCACTGGAGACTCACTCCTCCGTAAGGCACGTTTGCTCCTTGCTTGGCTGAGTTGCCACAAAATTCCTCCCCGGCTGTCTCCCCAGCAGGCCCCGTGCCCCGTCCCTACGCGTTGATCTGTGCGACAACCCTCCGACCACACAGAGGAGGAAAGTGCTCTTATTCCCAGGCTCACGTTCTGCTGGCCTCATCTAACTGGCAAGACACATTTTGTGTAAGGAAAAGAATGCTTTGGGTAACACAGCTTGCATCACCTTCCCACACAAAATAAACCATACTGGCGACAGCATCCTTTGGCTGGGGTAAATGAACCTTCAGAAAACCAAAATCCCACCCTAACCATTCTTTTCCTGCTGTAAGCCAGCAGTGCAAGCCTAGGTGAGTTATCCAAGGTCACAGGGGAAGCCTGGGCGACACAAGGAATCGAAGCCAGGCCTCCCACGGTCTGGCCTTCCTCTTCATCACCTGACTCTGGCTCTCTAGGGATGCTTCAAGAACAAAACAAAACAAAATCATCCTACTTTTTTCCGATTCAACCCAGAAAAGTCTTACAACTTAAAGCTACATTTGTCTCCTGAGCCTCTCAAAGCACACTCTCATGGGTCTTTCCAACTGGGACAGCAGCTACTGCCAGAGGTGCCATGGCTCCTGAAGCAATCCTCTCCTCTCCCTGATAAGGGTCTTACGATTCCTAATAAAGGCAGCAATTTTGCTTCCAGCTTTTACAAAGCTTTTTATGGCTCTGGCTGCTTAAAATAATTAGGAACCATAAATTCAGGGCAAAAAGACTTGCACAGAGTGTGACACGAGGGAGGGAGTATTGACTGAATCAGATTAAATCCTAGTTTATACTGAACGAAACACTTCCCACTTCAGATCTTTGACTTCCATATCTCAGCTTTGGCCCTCACTGACAGCCCTCAAAGACCAGAGTTAGAGCCTGGCTGACATGATAAACAGGTTTCCTGCCCTGATTACAATTACCACCGCTGTAACAACTGCGGTTTCCAGTGCGGGAAGTTCAACTCCTGGCAGAAGCAGCCGTGCTGGCAGTTCAGAGAAATATGCAAAATCAGCATCCCAGAAAACCACCAATTCCAACCCCAAGCTACATGTAAGAAGAACAAATTACCCAGAAACTCTTCTCGCTCAGACAGCTAACTGCTCTCAATCTGTTCCTGTTCACACGAGGCTCCCCGTCTTCAGGGCAGCCAGCCTGCCTGTCACCTTCGGCAATGACTCCAGTGGAGACGACATTAAGCTGGACTGTCCAAATCACTCTCTGCCAAGCCAGCGAGGATGCCAAGAGAGTGAATTCAAGTCTGCAAATACTTAACTTACAAGACAATCTGTGCAATGCTAGGAAGCTCACTACCATGCTAAATTATCTCTGCTGCTGTTTGTGGCTGCAGGTATGCTACATATTCAGATCTAGGATGTTTCTTCAAACAATCCCAGCATCAGACGACTGTAATGTTCAATTTTCTTTTCAGTGAAGAGTTAGTGCTCAGCAGAGAGTTGAAATCATTACTGCTGCAAGGTCCGGGAGCTCTCCTCCTGCATCTACCAATCAGCCTCCAATCTCCCTTGACAAAAGGATATTTGGACTTTTTCCTGGAGAAATCTCTCATAACTCAAGGTAACGACACCACTGCCACTTTCACCCCCTTCCTTTCTCCTGGTGGTGTCGTCGTTTCTGGGATGCATTTCTTTGTGGTCCATCAGCAGAGCTGCCAGCCTCCCTACTCCCTTCATAATATAGCTCCACACATCTTGTAGAGATGCCAGATTTGCGGTGTTGTCTTGTCAGTATTTCTAGGAGTTCAATAAACATTTTAATTAAAGGAACATCTTCTGAGCCAAGAAAACCGCAGCACGGGGCAGGATTACAGCCCCTTGATGGCTCACCGCCAGCATGACACTACTCCAAGTGTAAAAGCTCAAACCAGCTCTTGTGCCAGGCGACACAAAGCTGGGGGCTATGGCATGGCCACACAAGGGTGCCTAAAGCAGCACTCCTGGCTGAATTTCTTTCTCTAGCTGCCGTGAGGCCATTGCTCCCCGTTTTTCACCTTCTGGGAGGCTGCACAATCCCAAACTCTGCCTATAACAGACAGCACCCTCTGCACGAAGAGCGGGGAGAAGCAGAGGGCCCTGGAGGAATCGCCCAGTTTAGGTGCTCATGAAAGCGGCACCCATTGCTTCAACAGCGCACAGGTCTGGCAGGGAGGAGGTTACACCTGCTCCTCCTGCTGATACCGCAGCAGCCAACAGCTCCTGCCTTCTCCTCGGCGTGCAAAAGCAGCCACTGACTGGTCTCCATGGTGGTCTCTGCGCCACAAACCCCAACTTTGTGTTCAGAACACCCCCAGCAACAGCTCCTCATGTTTCTTTCCAGACCTGGGCATGGACATATATTCCTGTTTTTTTAAGAGGAAACACGGCAGAGCAAAGACCAGGCACAGCTCACCATTACAGCCTCAGCGAGCAAGAGCGAACACATACCTCCTGGGTCTCTCACTCAGGTTTGTGGTTCACCAACACAGAAAAACCAGGTTCAGGGCTCTAGGACGGGATCAAAAGCGCCGCAGAACACAATGCAGAACACCACGCCGCACCTGCACTGACCCAGACTTGTCCTGCCACTGAAAACTACCCTCTAGACCCTGCGCAGCTACTAAATTCCCTGTTCATCTACACAAACTGGTTTGTTCTTGCAGTTCCTACCGGGAGGCTTCTCAGCTCCCCCTCTTCCTCTGGGTCCCTATTTCATTTGCAGCCAGATCATTCTAGTAGTTCTTGCTCAGCTTTTCTTTTCCAGACCAAAGTGTGATGGATATAACAGACCTGCAACTTCCTTTGGAGTGAAGCATCACCCTGACCGTTCCCTCACACGCACTTCCACCAAGCCCAGAGCTCTGTAAATTGAAATACCTATTACTATAATAACGGGTTTACTCCACCGAAATTCCAAGCAACTGATGACAGGAATATTTTCCACTTCCTCAGGCTTGGTGACCGTTCCCACAACTTCCCAGCCTTCTGCAGTTTTAGCCTAGAAAGGGAAAGGAAAGACATGTTAAAAAATTGCCCACTTTTCAAGCCTAAAAAGAAAATAAGTCATGTATGCCAACACAATTTATTTTTTTTTAATGTTTCCAGTTAAGCTGAAGAGCTTCTCTGGGGGGGTATTTTGGCATCCCTTGAATTTTTACCCCCAAAGTCCTCTCAGTAACAGCACACAAACCTTGATTTAAGAAAAAAAAAAAAATTAAAAAAAAGTAATTTTCTTTCTGCTGTTTATTCCAGTTCAGCAAGCAAACAAACAGCAACTGAAAAGCTTTTTTTTTTTCTTTCTGCCCGTACAACAGTTCTAGGAAGGTTTTTGCCAGGAAAGCATACAAAAAGAGTAGTGTTAAACAAATTAGCATAAGGCTAATCCACAGAGCAAGGCAGTGGAAGTTCTCAAGTGCAGGCTCAGCCACCAGAAGCCCACAGTAACGTTTTCAAACACAAGCACACATTTTCAAACTCAGATGCCAAAAATCAGCTCACACAAAAGGCAGGGCACTCAACACTCAGTGCCTCACATAACCGGAGAACCAGCCTTCCCTCCCGCGCCCTAGTAAAAAGAGCCTTAATTATTTGTCTTGGAAATCCATTTTAACAATAAAAGAGCCGCTGCTTCTTGCCAGCTTCATTTCCTGTGAAATTGGCACTTTTTACATTACGCTATATCAAATTTACACCAGCCAGGCAATGCCAAGGGTTAGGCCAGTGAATCTGGGTCCAATTAAATGAACTGCTGCAATGGCTCAAAATGTTAATAATTCAAGCTTTACAGTAACAAAGTGATTCTTCCAGCTGTTTCAATTAAATATCAATGTATTTTATGTATCTTTCACTTCACCGTCATCCAGAGCTCCAGCTGCCAGACCTATTGTACAGCTGGACAAAGGGTTTCTAGCACCAAGCGGGAAGAGTCCAGGCTTACCTCTGCTCAGCCTCCTCACGGTCACACCAGCCTGACGAGCTCTTCCTCAAAGGGACACGGGCACACAGCAACCCCGGGTGCCTCCGTTCCCCTGAGGGTCTGCCGCTTCTGCCCTTGCACCCCGTGCTGAGCCCTCCAACCCCACTGCTCCCCCAGGTCTGGGGGATCCCGCAGGAAGAGGGGGGGCAGGTGAGAACCTGCAGCTCCCTGCTCTGCGTGCGCACAGCGTTCAGCCGGCCCCCAGCCCTGGCAGGGCACAGGGGACCTCCACAAGGAGCCAGGGCAGTCGCAAGGTGCTGTCACAGGGGATGGACGCACTCTGCCAATTCAAAGCAACATCCCTGGGCTTGTGTCAGTTTAAATCACGTTTTTTCTGTATGCATTCCCCTTCCTTCTGCAGCATGTTCTGCAAAGGGCCCTATCTCACCTCATCGCGTTTGTACAGCATAAAAAGAATTCCAGCAGCTCGCACCAGCCCTGGTTTCTCCTCTCTCCCCTGCTCCAAAGCCTGCCCAATGCTGCCATCGTGTGCCTGCGCCCCGGGATGCTGCCTCCGCCGCAGCACTAGCTTCGGACCCCACGGGGAGAAAGGGAGCCAGACCCCGTCTTGCCGAGCTCGCAGCCTGAGTACGGGAGACAGACAGAGTGCTACCCTGCTATCGCCATCGTCCAGAAAAAGACCTACAGCTTGGACGTGTTACCCCACCCTGTGGAATGGGACTGGGGGCGCAGGCCTGTGAGAGGTGGTCCGACAGCACAGACCAGCGGCAGCAAACAGGGGTGCAGAGCAGGAGCACAGGACACTGCAAAGAGCTGACTCCTTCTCCTGTACCTCCTCTCTGTTCAATACACACAATATTTGAGGTTTCTTGAAAGGAAAAGGGAAAAAAAAAGGTGGCTCATTCTACCTTCAAAAAGCTCTGGATATCATCCGTGCTGTAGACATCTAAGACTTCCACAGCTCCAGAGCTAGCTTTGCTCACTGTCGGAGTCAATGGGCAGCTGCAAGGAAAAAAAAGAAAGGAGAAGCGTCATATGAGAGCAAAAAAAGAAATCCAGGAGAATTTTTGCTTCTGTATTTCCTTCGCTTGCCTCTGCAACTCAATTCCAACCAGTCCACTAAAGAGTTCGCTCACTATACAGATCTATTTTCCTATGGAGAATAGGAAGGCTCAGAAATAGGTTGTAGCAGTTCTGCGCACAGATGGACAACTGAAACACAAAACAGGTTAAAACAAAAAGTACCCAGGGAGGTTCCTTACCAGCCTGGAATGCCAGATCCCACAGCCTCCCTGCAGAGCACAGCGCAAAGCAGCTGCTAGCCCGGTTCAGCTCTGAAGCTCTGTCCTAGCAAGCTCTCTAAAGCAGCTGTCGAGCAATGCAGGCTAGAAACCTTCTTGGGAGCCAGCAGGAAAAGAAAGAGAAAAGCTGAAGGAGCAGATAACCCACCCCGTACCTGTTCCTCTGGCTTGTCACCACTCTGTCCACCCCCAAGAAGTACGCAGAGCGCAGCAGTGCCCCCAGGTTCATGGGATCCTGGATCTTCTCCAACACCAGCCAAATCAACTGCTGCTTCGGATTCTCTTCATCCCCTACATCCGGCTTTTCAGCTTCCTCCAAACTCTTGAAACGGAGAGGAGTGGCCTCCAGACAAACTCCCTGGTGGACCCGACCTCTGCAAAGAGCATTCAGCTCTCTCCCTTTGACGTGGTGCACGGGGACTCCCCAGGCCATGGCCTGAAGGACAAACTCACTCATTACGAGCCGCCGAGGGCCGCTGCTCTCCTTGAGGAACAACCTGAACATGTCCCTTCTCGACTGGGAGAGGGCCAGGGAACACGGTGCGATCCCAAATAAGATCTCTGAGCCTTTAGTCCTCTCGATCAGTACAGGCTTCTGCTCCTGCCTCTTCCTCGCCTTTGAGGAGTCACCCTCATCCGAGCCCCACAGCTCCCTGCTGCCTGGCGCAGCCGGCCTGGCCCCTCTCTCGTACGACTTGTGCCACGGCCGTGGCTGTCCCTGCGGGGCCAGGCCCTCGGGGGACGTGCG